GCGCTCCAGCGCCGTTCCCCATCTCCCACCGCTCAGGGGCCATTTATGCTGCGGAGGAGGCAGCGGGTCTCCAAGACCCTGACGCTGATTTAGGCAGATCTCCCTCGAAGCCAGCGGTTCTCAACCTCGGCTGCACATGAGAATCACCGGGGAGTCTTTTTAAAATCCTGGTTTCTGGGCCTCGTCCTCCGGAAATTCTGTGTCTTTGTTACTAATGTTGTGGCCCCGCCCCGTAACAAAGACACAGAATTTCCGGAGGATGAGGCCCAGAAATCAGGATTTTAAAAAGATTCCCAGGTGATTCTAATGTGCAGCCAAGGTTGAGAACCACTGCTCTGGGTAGGGAACGCTTGTCCGCTCCGCACCAGTTACACACACAGAAGCTGTTGCTGCGGCTTCAGATCAACTTTAAAATACCCAAGAGGCCCCGATGTCTCAGCTGAGCGTGTCCACCCAGAGCTCCGCCCCCAAACCTACTCACCGGAGGGCCCTGTGTTCCTCGCCCGCCTTTGAGTCCGGGGACCCCATTCGGACCCTAGATGGGAGAAACAGAGAGACGGCTGCGGTGAGGCAGACCGGCTGTGCACCAGCCGAGCTGGGGACTGGGCCTTTCCGCAGGGCCCCCTCGGGCTTACGTGGGGGCCTGGGGATCCTGCCAGCCCCTGTGGCCCCGGGGAGCCGGCGTCTCCCTTCTGTCCTGGCTCTCCGGGCTCCCCCTTCACACCTGGCTGCCCATCGGGACCCTGCCAATGGCACAAATAAGCAATTGTTAGAACACTGACGGACAAGTTACCCTACAGCGACTCTTACTAACATGATTAACACTGGACGGAAGAGCTGCTGTGAAGCGGTGCTTTGTACTCAGTTTGACAGCAAAGAAGAGAGCAGCAGCCTGTGGGGTCCTAATGACAGCCTGAGAGAAGTAAGCCATCGCACCAGGTCTCATTATAACAAAGAAGTATAGAGTCTGGAACTGTGTAAACTCATCCATTTTTGTGCTAGTCCATGAACTGTTTTGAAAATGAGAATAGCTAGAAAACTGCAAACTTTCCAGAATCTTTTACCTTCAAAACATACGGCAATGATAACTAATGAACGCACGCTCTAACGGGGAGTGTTCACTGAACGCAGAGATACATGGAAATTATACCTGGGGGCCGGCGAAGCCAACAGCACCAATGGGGCCATTTTCACCGCGGGAGCCCTGGAAGACAAGAGGAGACATTCACACCTCCTTACGCACAGGAAGCGGCAGCTGTCCGCGGTGGCCAAGGCACGGAAACAGCCCAAGTGCCTGCGACAGGACTGGATGAAGAAGACGCGGTGCACAACACAACAGAGTCCTACTCAGCCACAAGAGGGGATGACATAGCGGCATTTGCCACAACATGGATGAACCCTGAAATATTCTGCCAAGTGAGAGAAGTCGGACGGAAAAAGCTAAGAACCACATGATTTCACTCACATGCGGGATATCAAACTAAAACCCATGGGCACAGGTGGTGGTTGCTAGAGAGGGGGCTGAGGGGATAGGGTTTGAAGGAGCCTATTATATGGTGATGGAAGATGGTCTGACTTTGGGGGATGGGCATACAGTGTACTCTGCAGATCTTGTATCATAGAAATTGACACCTGAAAAACCTATATGACCCTACTAGCCAATGTCACCCCAATAAATTTAATTAAAGTTTTTTAAAAATACAATTATATAAATTTGGAGTGTCTTGAAATAATATATAGAAAAATCAGACATACCGCTTGAGGAAGAATATATATATAAAATGATATGTATATACCATAGAACAAAATTTCCAAGGTTTGAAGTTTCAAAGAAGTCTCTTAATTACTTAGTGAGCTGCTTACCTACACTCACTCGATTGTATCACATTAATAGAGTGATAATTTTTTAAGTTTAATGAGAGAAGTAAAAGCTGAAAACCAGAAAGTTATAAATAGCCTACTGTATCAGGCACGGTTTTCTATAGCTGTCAGGACAAAGAGAGGAACTGTCTTACTGCTCAAGGTGATGCTGAGATCACAACACACGGTCACTTACAGGATTGCCGCGCGAGCCAGGAGGGCCGACTAAACCTCGAGGGCCAGGTTCTCCCTGCAGAGCAGATGGTAGATGGTTATTGTCCGAAACAGCAGCAGACACAGCACCACTGTGGGATGGTGGGCACCGCGTGGAGGGCAGATAACGGACGTGAACTAGCCAACGGCCACGCTTTGTGAAAGGGAAAACACTGAGAGAGCCCGCTTCCAGGCCTCATGGGGCGACTCCACAGAAGGACTCATTACCTTTTCTCCAGTGGGACCTGCAGGACCCGGGGGGCCCAGGGGGCCTGGCAGACCCTGCAGGGAACAGAGGAACAGGACACTGAGGGAGAGAAGGCACAAAGTCTCCACGTTCACACACACAGAAGGGCTGTGCTGGTGTCATGCGGCTGCTTTCACAGAGCATGACCTAGAATAAATAACGCCATCTACATGCTCTCAACATGTTCCTATCTGGTCGAGAACAATCTCCACAGAACGACTTCATCTCTCATCTAACTCAGCTCACCCAGACGTGGCCCCGCCTTCCACAGCAGTCTGGCTCAGTGCTGTTCGCCAGCGCCTCCGTCTCTCAGCCTGTTAACGTTGCTAATCCTACTTGAAATTTGAGTCTAGACTGAAGAGACGTGTCTTCATTTGTACAAAATGCTATATTCTTGCATCCTAATACGCTAGCAAAATGTCACTCTTTTATTTCAAAAAAGTGAAGTGTGCTAATGCATTTGGTTTTCTACATCCCCCTGCATGTAAGGAAGCGTCACAGCCTGAGAAGAGGGGGTGCTCTTGCTCAGAGCCCGGGGGCTGGGGGGGGGGGCTGCCGCAGGATACAAGCTGGGTCTTCTCCACGTGCCCACAGACTCCCCTCCTCCACTCGGTTGCGACTCTTCCTGAACCAGGTTTTCCCTCCGATACCCGTGCGCTGCCTCTTCCTGTGCAGCCAGATACTCACTTGTAGTTTAATTTCTGTATGTACTACTGAAGAAGCTTAGGAACCAACATGATTCTTCTATTTTATATTATTAACAAGAACACGAGTAAACTATATTAAATTCTCTGGCTCTACAGTGGAACAACATTCTTCCAATAATTTACCTAATATACTTCTTTAAAGGATTTGATGAAATAAAATATAAATTTACACACTTTTTCATAGAGAGAAAATGTATTATTCATTTTCCCCTTTACTAATGCTGATTCATTGCCCTGTTGTTTTCTCACCCCTGACCTCCAATATACTGAGAAACATTAATCACAACTTTGCTCTACAAAACTCTACCTGCCTCGCTTGGACAGAGGTCTAGACCAGCTCATGAGATCAGCTACTTTATAGAATGAACATGCCTGTGAAAAAGACAGGTGAGAGAAGCCCCACTGCTGACAGCAGTGACTGCTCACGTCTCTCAATAGTGACTTTCCTTCCTGGCTGCCCTAACTCGAGGTGAGCAGAATGAGTGTCCACGGTTCATCAACGTCTAATCTCAGGTTTCCTCATCCTCCAAGTCCAACCGCCATGGAAGCGAGTCCGACAGCCATGGAAGCGCTACAAACGTTATTTTGGAAAGTTCAGGCAACTTCCCATGATGATGATAATGCTGACTCCAGGGCTGGGGGGGAGGGGGACACAAATGGTTTCACTTACCCTTGCTCCATCGTTCCCAGCTGTGCCTTCAGAGCCTTTCTCTCCTAGGCCGCCCTGGGGAAACACAGAACAGCCTGTGTTCATGTGGTTGTCTCCTTCCCACACTTGCATGGAGGGCTCACGAGTGAAGAGTTATGTGAGTGAAGCCCTGCACATTCTCTCAATAGATATACATTAAAACATGAATGAATGAATGAATGAATGAATGAATGAATGGCTCATGACTCAGGACGGCGGAAGTAAAAGTCTGCCCAGGACATCAATGTCGGTAGAAAATCTAATTGAATGATCTCAGAAAAAAGAAAGAAGACTCACCCTGTCGCCCTTTGGGCCCGGCGTCCCTGCAATCCCTCGCTCCCCGGGCATGCCTTGAAGGCCTGGAGGGCCCGTGTCCCCGGGGGTGCCAGCTGGTCCTGGGCTGCCCTGAAACCAACCAACAGGAAGGGAGAGCACCTCAATATCCAAACCGAACCACCTGGAATTACCATGTTGGTAGTCAAAATAGTAGATTCTCAGAGACTTCACATGGTCTAACCAGTGCTTACATGTTTCATTTGGAAAATGATCTCTGAGTTCATTAAAAAAACAACGATCAGATCTGCCATTTTGATAATCAGTTTATGTTTTCAACTTTTCTCTTTGGGGAAATTAAGTACTGATTCAAATAAAAATGATAGAGCTTCCTTTTTTTCTTATTTTGGTAACATCACGGTGAGATTCTAATAAAGAAAGGAGATATTACATTTAGAGAGTATTTCATTCCTCTGTAATAAACCCATGATATTAAGCTGGTTGAGGCTCATTCAGTGATTAAATTGAAGCAAATCTTATGCAATCACTTTGGATCGTAAAGATTTGCATAATCATGAAAAATTTGACTTCAGATGTTTACGCTGAAACTGGCTCCATTGTCTGCTATCAATGTTACAATGGCGCCCAGAAAGAAATGGCACTGATTCTTGCCTTCTGCTGTGTTGCATTTTAGATGCAAAGACAACATCCTTCCGTAGATTTTGTCAGCAGAATCGTGGAACTCAGGACAAGGAGAGTGGAGCATAAACCCCATCACAACAGTGGACTAGTTTTAGCTGACGCTTAGCGCCAAGTGCAAGCCTGTGGCTGCTCGTAAGCATTTGCTGCGGAAGAAAACTAATCAAATCCCCTGGAGAACGCGGGGAGCACACGCTGGCTCGTACTCACCTTCGGGCCATCGGGGCCGTGCCCACCGGCCATCCCCTTCTCGCCGGGCAGCCCGGTGATCCCCGGTTCTCCGCGCTCCCCCGGGTTTCCTCGCTCTCCCTAGCACAACAGCGGAGCGTCAGCCTCAGGGCTTGGTCTGAGGGGTTAGGAACATCCCCGAAAACATGAAACAGGCCCTCCAGGGGAGAGGTTCAGAAATGAGCAACTACTGAGGCTCGGGTTCCCGGTTTAGTGACAAGAAACAGACGTGTAGGCAGGATAGGGTAGGTTCCCAGCACAGACTATTCCCCACGGGAAGTAGAAGAATTTAATGCCCAGCAGAGCCCCACTGAAGACATGAGGAAAAGGTGCTTTTTAAGGGGAAGCCAATGGGGATGCGAAGGAGAGAGTACTCACTCGGGGTCCCAGTGGGCCCACGGCCCCCGGATCACCAGGAACTCCCTGTAACATTCATTTTAAAAGGTGGGAAGAGAATCTCTGAGCTAAATGGCATTTATTTATTAGAAATCTTTCCAGATCATACACCCAATTTTTTTAACGCACTAAAGCCCAAAATACTGAAGAAAGAAAGATGTGTCTACTTTTATAAATGGAGTGGGCATCACACAAATTGGATGGAAATATTTTTCCAGAAAAAAATGATGTTGTAACTGAATATTTGATTTTTGGCAGTGAGAACATACAAAATGTTATTTCCCAAAGTGCATCCATTTTTTTAGAGATACAGTAACATATATACTAAAAGCCTTTTATTTCCTAATGCAATATGAAAAAGCTTTAAGAGAGGGAAGTGAAATTAAAAGCAGTGGAGTACTGGTCTTTTGAATAAAACCAATTCCACTCAACTCAGTAAATACTTCTTGAACATACAATGTGGGCAACACACTCTACTAGGAACTGTGGGTTCAGACGAGGGCAGTCGTGACTCCACTAAAGTTGTTTCTTTCTTCGATAAAGATAATCTGTCTAAGGTGGGCCTCCGGTCTTATCCCTTGAAATTACTGTCTTCCCTGAGCTGTGATCTTCCCCAAACTCAATCAAACAGTAGTGCCCCTGCTGAAAATCCCTTCGCCAGCGGCCCGTTATTCCAAGAGGAAGAACAAGTAGGACTCAAATTGAGACCCTCCATAATCTGGCCCCAATTCCCGCCTCCAGCCTCCCTCCACTCTGAGTTGCACTTGTGCCTCCTGACTCACAGAACTGTGCTCACGGCCTTAACTTGACCTGCAACACGTTGTCTGTCCTGTTCCATGTCCTGGCGCACTTCCTCACCTTCCCTCCTCCGCCCACCATCCTTCATCCTTCAGATCTCGTGGAAGTTATGACCTCGTCCAGGAAACTCTTCCTAAACCTCCAGTCAGAATCAGTGGCATCTTCTGTGTTTCCACAGGCACAGTGCCCCCCTCCCCCATAGCAGTTAGAGTCACTGTCACTGTCTCCCTGTACTCTGTCCCCCTGTGATACAGGACACGGGCAGGGTCCATGTCCATCTTGTTCACTTGGTTAAGGCCGAGCAAGCTTAGCACAGCTGAGCACGCAGCACTCAGCAAACACTTGAGGAATGGGGGAATGAATGAATTCCTCAGAGGAAAATAAACAGAATAAACCCATGTGCTCATCAAATGATAGCGATAAAGTAGTGTCTGTTCATAACAGCTGGTAAAGCCTCCAGGAAAACTCCATCGCATGACTCAGGCCCACTCAGGGATTTAGAACAGTCGTGGGAAGCATCTGACCTGGCCCAAAGCCCACCAGCTGTGCGACCCGACATCTGTGCCCCTTCCCCTCCATAACTAGGGGAGTAATAGTAGCGAGGGTGTTTGAGGTTAAAAAAAGATAACATGTGGCCCAGCCGGTGTGGCCCAGTGGTTGAGCGTCCACCTCTGAGGTCAGGGTTTGATTCCCCCTCAGGGCACATGCCTGGGTTGGGGCTGGATCCTCAGTGGGGGGTGTGCAGGAGGCAGCCGATCAATGGTTCTCTCTCATCATTGGTGTTTCTCTCTCTCTCTCTCTCTCTCTCTCTCTCTCTGAAATCAATAAAAATATGAGAAGAAAAGGGAATATGTAAATCACACCAGAATGGAGCCTCACACATGATAAGTGATATTAAGAAGCAGTGGTTTCTAGTATTGCTGTTCTTCGTATTCAAACACTTACCTGATCTCCTGGTTTCCCACCTTCCCCGGGAGGCCCTGGGGGGCCCGGAAGCCCCTAAAACCAAAGCAACAATGGAAGTGTGACTGAAGCTGCCCAGGCCACCAGTGTCAGCAGCTGACCTCCTACAGCTCATAGGGCCTCTGGGACTCTATTCAAGCAAAAGATGCTGTTCAAACACAAGTTACGCAAACACAGACCGAGAGACCTCCATCTCATAACTAACCACAGAAGCTAGTTGACAGGTTAGGGCTTCATTTGCATATCACTTAGCAAACAAAAGAACAATGTAACAGGAGGCTCTTTAGATTTGTAGGTTTTTATAAAGGCTCTGAAAACAATATACTAGGTTACTAGAATACTACTGAAAGTTTCTTTTCCCCAAATTATGCTTATTTGTGCTGCTAAATAATCTACCATACCAATATATTTAGATAAATTATGAAAGTTTGTTCCACAAAATCTTTTGTCACTGTGCCAATCAAACCAGATAAGCCTTAAAACGGTTAAATAAATGTCACTGCGATATGAAGAATATTTTTTGGTTTTTCATTTGTCAGTAGCTTTGGGTTTTAATCAGTTTTTTAGGGGAAGTCTATTCTTTTTCTTTGAAAAAAATGTTTGGTTTTATTCAGATGTCCATCCTATTTACTAACAGAGGGGTGGCCTGGAAAACTGCAGAGCTGCGCATCCTTTTCTCGTATCTTCTCACGTTTTAAAAGAGCGTGTAGTCAGTGGAGAGGGACTCAACAACGGAACCGCACGTACCTGAAAGCCGGTGGGGCCGGGGGGGCCCTGCTCGCCTCTCTCCCCAGCGAGGCCCTAAGGCACGGAGGAAAGGAAATGGTGAAAATCCCGGGCCAGCCCTCACCCCGCTTCCTGCCGTGAGAACCACGAGAAGCATTTCCATTTATTGTGCTTCTTCCAATCGCATGTTCTTCACTTTGGCCGGGTACTAAACTAGTGTTAAAAGTCATCTATTGGTTTGAAGTCCCTGCTGGTGAGGAAATACCTTTCAAAACCAGCAAAGAGACTGATGCCATGTGTTTGTTTTTTGATCCAAACAAAATGTCTGGAGCTGACCATAAAATTATGGGGAAACTGGATGAACTGGAGATGGAAAAATTCATTACTTTCATATGTCTAATCTAAGATGGTAAGATTTTCATTGCAGTTTATTTCTAAGTGTCATAAAAACCATTAATCAAACCTTCAAAACTAGTCAACAAAGCTAGTACTTTAATTCATTTGGTATTTTAAACAAATAAAATGCCAAAATATTTCTGATACATACTTCATTTTACAATGCTAGGATGAAAAAATACCTCAAAGAATATTATTCCTTTTTAGCCCCTCAAAAGAAAAAAACAGCTTAAATAAATATCTATAAGACACATTATTAGAATAAGATAGGTAATATTCAGTATTTTAATATTTTAAGTAAAATACAGTATTAAATGTTAATCAAGCTCTATTTTCCTTAGTTGACATATTTTCCAACAGTGACACATAAAGATGAAGAGGTAGCCTTTTGCCATCAGCATTTTATAGAGATTTAAAATGACGAAGCCAATCATGCCGCTTTAACAGGCAGACGATTCCGGCACAGGAATCAAAAGGAAAGCTATAACTGCAATTCTGCAATATGCGCTTCTTCCTCATTCCCCCAAAGTTATTGTCAGTAAAGTCTTGGACAGACACCACAGAAAATGCAACATGCACATATTTCTGCCGAAAGGTCACTCACCGGGGGGCCCACGGGCCCAGAAGGGCCGACTTCGCCGTCTTTCCCAGGAGCCCCCTAGCGTCACACAGAGAGAAGCTGTGAGATGAGGGCCATGAAAATTTGCGTAATTTTATTTTTTTCGTTAGCAGAAAACGTATATAGCTACCCTCTGTCCAGGGACACCAGCGTTTCCTGCTTCCCCAGGCTTGCCAGGATCGCCCTAAAGAACAAACTTCCATGTCAATCATTTGTCCGCAGCACGCCTGTGCCCGGGGAGAACTACAGGGGACGACAGGCACGTTACACAGGTACTCACACTGCTGCCCTTGGGGCCGGGGAGCCCCATGGTCCCAGGCTGCCCCCTGATTCCTATGGAGCCGGGGGGCCCGGGGCGGCCGTCCTCCCCCGGAGCGCCCTGCAAAAGCCACAGGAGCCACGTAAGTTCTGTGGAGGCTCTTCCCAAACATCACAGCACCCAGCAGTCACTTGCCTTCGCTCACTATAGAACTCAATGTGTTTTAAGTTATCCGACATGGTTATCTGGGTGAATGAGGACAGGCGAGCGTCCACAAAAACCAGCGAAAGCTGTTGGAGTATCTTTGACTCTCTAGTCTCATTCTATGCCCGAGCCTCATCTCCATGTCTCCTCCCTTTCTCAGCTGAAAAGAGGAATCTGTCCCTTCTCCTTTCACTTTGTGGCAATGAAACCTCAGACTTCTACTTCACATCTGCATATAAGAGAAGGGCCCAGAGTATACGTCAAAATTCATACCCACTTATCTCTTAAATGTATCAAGTTGGAAGGAACATCGAGAAATAAGAATGCTGCTAACAGACAGATCTCGTCAATATGAAGAATACATCATTTTGACTTTTTCCCTGATGTCCAGGAAGCAATTTTAATCTCAAACATTTACTTCAATAAAATGTGACAATTTTGGTGAATTTGAAAATATGCAGATCCTAACTATTTGCTTCCAAGGGGCAGGGCCCCTTAAACAGATAAACATGGTCAGCAGCCATGTGACCAGAAACATCAGCGCCCTAAGCTGCCTGCCTGGAGGAGCACCCACGGCTGTGGGCGTCGGCTTAAAGCACTTACCAAAGGCCCGAGTTTTCCTTCAGGACCTTGAACCCCAGGATTGCCTGTCAGACCCTGAAAATTAAAGTAACTGTCAGTGTGACCCGCAGCTGAAGATTCTGGAGTGAAAACAGCATCACGTTCACAGGACCAGGTTCCACCTGGCAAGGCCGCTCTCAGGCGCCTTAGGGTCCCCTAGGCAAGCTCCTGGACCCTCCTGGCCTCAGCGGGATGCTCAGCAGGATGCACGGCGACCAGCACAGAGGCCGGCGGGGTGGCATCAGGGGGGGCTCTGCCTCCAGGGCAACCCCCAAACCCCCCACAGTGCCAAGGCCGGATGCCAGTCTACATCGCGGTCCAGGAGCCACCTAGGCTTGGAAACCTCGCGTAACCGCTCTCTGTAACGCACCTCCAACACAGTATCCTGGTCCCAGCAAGGGGGGTGCCCAGGTGCAAGTCACCCCCAAATCAGGAAAGCCAACGCTAGGCTCCCACCAGGTGTGTATAGTCCATTCCTAGCCCCCCAGTCCAGATGCGGTCTAAACCCGGGTCATTTTCACATCAGCACTGCTGGCCGGCACTGGGCGGCCTCCCCCTGGATCAGACATGAGGGAAGAATGTCTGAGCCAAGGTGCACCCACGCCAATGTGTCCTTTGCAGGAGGAAGGCTCGCGTGGGCTTCCCTCGCGGACTCAATGCTGGGCTCAGAGAAAGCACTCGTGTTGGGCCAAAGGTATCTTTTCATCCAACTTCCTGTGTAACTCCTTTCTCCTGAAGGGAATGCTGACCACTGAAGACGAGGGCAATTCCAAAGTTGAAATAAATGTCAAGTGATAGAAAATGTATCTTACATGACATTTATCATCAATTCTCTCCGTCAAGTCAAACAAGTTATTATCAAGCAAAATATATATCAAACTGACAAAGAGGAATAGTTTTTTAATGAAAAGAGGTAAAATTGTTCATACAAACCCTTTGAAAAAGGAAGACTAGAATTCAGTGTGTTTTCTACACATGACAAAAGTAACAAGCCAGTATTTACAAAATAATGAATCGGGCCAAAACCAAAAAACAAAGAAATGTTCCAAGTTGTAAAAGTGAGCGAGAGAGAGAGAGAGAGAGAGAGAGAGAAGTAATGAGGGAGGAAGGAAGGAAGGGGAGGAAAGGAAAGGGAAAGGGAGGGGAGGGGAGGGGAGGGAAGATCAGGGAAGGGAGTAAAGGGAGGAAACACCCTTCATGAATTCCAAGGAGCACGTCTCTTGGCTGATGGACCACAAGACGGCCATGTTCTTACCCGAGCTCCCGGCAGCCCTGGTTCCCCTGGGCGTCCTGGGTCCCCCTGCCCTCCTTTAGGTCCTGACGAGCCCACAGGCCCCCTCTCTCCTTGCGCCCCCTGTTCCAAAGCAAAGCAGACATGTCAGGAAAGAGCACGGAGACACACATGAGCATACAAAGTTCCCGTTCTGCTGAGCAAAGCGTGAGTGTAACGAACACAGCTGGTCGAAGTCACTGCAGAGACCTCCGGGCAAACAGTGGCCCTCGCCTTCTGCTCTAACCTGCCTTCCTGCTAGAACAGCGCGGTTTCTTCGTTACCCAATGAAAGTGGTGATCAGAACCTCGCGCCAATCATTTAGATATTGGAAAAAACATAGAATTTTGAAAGAATCTAAATTTCTAGATAAAGGAAATAATACATCAGCTCCAGGAAATGACCATGACCTCTCTTCTTCTCGGCATTTCCCTGACGAGTCCGGAAACAAGCTCCCATACCCCTCCATCGGCAGCCTCCCCCCACCCTCTGTAACGCAGACATCGCACACGACATCGGTGCCAAAGCCGTTCTGGATCCGGGCCCACGGCCACGGCTAAAGCATGCCGCTGGGCCCGGCACCTCCCGCAGCGCCATGGCCCACTGAGGGAATGACCTACCTTGGGTCCGGGTAAGCCGTCGGAGCCCGGGAAACCGCGGTTGCCGGGAGCACCCTACAAAGGAGCAAGATTCGATCTTAACAGCTGTGGATGGTTTCGTAATACACACCGAAGGGATAATGTTTATCTTTAGCACTAGCGGCTTTAGAGTCTGTGATCAAGCCCATATGGCGGTAAATACGCACAAGAAAAAACCTGACTACACAGAGGAAATCTTAAATTCTAAAGAATATATAAGTACGGAGCCAAAGAGTTATCCAGAGCAAGAAATACTCTAACAACTCACGGTAACATCAAACCTAAACTGACACACAGGCGGGCGAGGCAAAGGCAGGGCGCATCTGCACATGCAGACCTGCCGGACCAGGCCTGGGCCTGTGCGCTGGCGGCCCCCGCGGCCCGAGGCTCACGCAGTGTGAGTGCGGCCTCGTCCCCCTCAGGCCGGCTCACTGTCCTCCAGGGCTGTGCAGTCAGCCTCCGGCTGGGCTCTGCTGTTTCCTCTGCTGAACAGTGTTCCTCCACGTTCTCTCCCAGCACGTCCTCTCCCTCAGGTCCTGTTTCCTCGCCTCCTCATCTTACGCCACCCCCAGTCACACACCCGGAGTTATTCCTGCCGCATCGCCCTGTGACTTCCTAAGTGTGCGTGGCATTATTAAGATGTGTCATTATGTCTTTATTTAACGTTGACTTTTTTTTGCTAACGTCCCCGTCAGAGTGAACGATAGTTTACCAGCCCCACATGAGGGCTGGGACCCTAGCCTTCTGCCCACTGGTGTATCCCCAGCAGCACAGCACACTGGCAATAGCACAGTGACCCGTCAGCACTAGTTCAAGCCCTAGCTGCATGAATGAATACAGCGGTTGGTGGTGCCTCTCATTCACAGGTTACCAGGCTAACCCAGCACCTGCAAGTGTGTCTCTTAACTGCCCTGGCTTTCCTTACTACCCCCAGACTTATCCCCCGGAACCATGAGAACTTGCTTTATGACTCAGTTTACCCTTTCTCCCACCGGCCCTTGAGGACCGACTGCGCCGGGGTCGCCGCGGGGACCTCTTTTGCCTTCTTCACCGGGGGGGCCGATGGGACCCTGAATGCCGTGGGGCCCCTGTTGAAAACGGAAGAGCAGTTACCAGAAAAGGCCGTGCAATGAGTGGAGTGGAAAGATCCATCTAATGAAGCCAGTCACACATTCTAAATTACATTAAATGGGCTATTTCCATCCAGAGGGATTACAGTCTCACAGTTATTATTTCACAAACTTCAGCATTCTGAGCTGCCCACTGTGAGGCAATGCACATGTCCTTCTTCTCATTTAAAAAGAATGAAAAAGAAAGTTATTTAGTAGCTAACTAGTGCCCTCCAAAAAAGGCTACACCTACATGTGAGCTCTTAGTATTTGCCCTTAAGTGAGCGCAGTGAAGAGCCAGGAGCTGAGTCCGGACTAAGCACTGTCCCTTCTGAAAACCTGACACCATGTGTGTGAATTTTCATAAAACGCAGCAGAATTTGGCAGCGGCTTGTTTACTTCACAGTGTCCTCAGAGGTTAGTTTTTCAATACTGATTCTTATTTTGCATGCCAGAATAATTACAATTATTTAGCTATTATTCCAATTTGATCATTAAAATGAGAACCAAACAATCACCACTTCTGCAGAAAACCTACTTAGGGTTTATTTTAGGAAATAGGATCGATATCGTTTTATATTTATGTCCTATCTATTGAGAGTTTGACAGCTTCTCATAGGGCATTTCATCTCTATGGGGCTTTAGGGTTTTTCTCTGTCCAGGGTTTTACGTATGTGCGTCTTTCAATACCAATTGCAGTTTAGGTTTAGGAGCCAGATTGCTAAACTGAGAACATGATCAAATGAAATGTGACGCATCAGCAACCCTCATGTTTTAATAAATCTGTCAGCAGCAAAAAGGATTGATCAGCAAAAACCAAATGACTTGGAGCAGAATCTAGAATATTTGTTTTAAGTAGCACTAGAAAAAAGGTTGGTTTTATGTATATATCCAGCTAAAACATATGTAAGCACAAGTTTTCAATCTGTTCATTTCTTATGGGTGCATCATAATATTTTTCCTAGAACATAATTTTTATAAAATATGGAAACTCATTAAATCTAACAATATGTTGAAATCTTTCTTCAAGCACCATATGACTTCACTCACATGTGGAATCTAATGAACAAAATAAACTAACAAACAAAATAGAAAGAGACTCATAGACACAGAGAACAGACTGACAGCCGCCAGAGGGACCGGGAGTCAGGGGGCTGGTGAGAAAGGTGAAGGGATTAAGTAAAATAAATAAATAAATAAATAAGAAAACACCTCCTGGTCACAGGCAGCAGTGTGGTGACTACCAGAGGGAAGGGGGTGGGGAGGGTGGAAGAGGGTGAAGGGGGGATAAACGCAGATGGAAGGAGACTTGACTTGGGGTGGTGAACACATGATAGAATATACAGATAATATATAGGGTTTCCCCCAAAAATGTATACACACATTTTGAATAATTATAAAGGCAATATTTATTAAAATAGATTTCATTTTCAAAATTGAACTATCAGCTGTTAAAGTGTATACATTTTAGGGGGACACTGTATTATAGAATTATTACCTGAAACCTATATAATTGCATTAACCAGTTTCACCCCAATAAATTCAATTAAAAAAAATAGAAATTAAGCCCTGGCGGGTAGCTCAGTTGGTTGGAGCATCGTCCCGATATGCCAAGGTTGTAGGGTCAATCCCCAGTCAGGGGTCAGGGCACATACAAGAAGCAACCAATAAATGCATAAATAAGTGGAACCACAAATTGATATTTTGTGCGCGCTCTCTCTCTTTTCAAATTAAAAGTTAAAAGAAGAAAAACTCTCAAGAAATAGTTGTTGAATCCACTTTTAGTCAAATCATCATTGTAAGCACCCAATAAACCTCCACATCTCCCCACACTGGCTTGCTAATGTTTCCATGTTTATTTTTCA